GGACTCGATCCCAGGACCCTGGGATCATGACCTGAGCCGAAGGCAGACGCTTAACAACTGAGCCACCCAGGCGCCTGAGCCAAGTTCTTTATGACAGAAGCAACAACTCAATGTGAAAATGCTTCTCGATTATTTTTTTTTCTTCTTTTTTTAATCCAAGTATTTGTCAATGGGCTGTAAGTTGTAAGGAGACTTAATATTATCTACATTCTTTTGCCTTTGTTCTCCACATCAGCTGCACCAGTTTGCATTCCCACCAATAGTGCAAGAGGGTTCCTTTTCTCCACATCCTCAATTCTTCAATTATTATCCAAATAAAGCATAAACATTTAGACTGTACTTCAGATATTCCTCAACAAATAACTGCTATATACCACTTCTGCTTACAGATCACTGGCAAGAACTTAGATACAGGACCAGAGCTGATGGCAAGGGAAGCCAGAAATTGGTCTTTGTCCTGGGCAGCAAAGAGCCCAGTAAAATTTGGGGGATTCTGTTATTAAGGGAAAAGAGGATGATGGATATTGACAGATGACCAGGAATCTGTTTCTCAAGACCCAGTACTGCAAAGCCATTTGGGTGTGAAGTCACATCCTTAATTCTCTGGGTCTCAGCCATCTCTGTAAGATGAAGGGCTCTGTACTTGTGAAAATAAGTGAAGCCCACTTAAATGAGAACACAAAGGCTATTCAGAGCTTGCTATAGCAAAGGATCAGCTACTATCACCTGCCTTTGGCAGAGATCCAGAGGCATGCAGAAAGTAAGAAAAAGAACGAAGCTTCAGGTATGCCCTGATTGGAGATTGTTGGTGTGGGAGAGCTGGAGGTAGGTTAGCTAGGAGCAGGACGTCTTATGTGATTGGTTTGGGGAGCTTATTTGGCTCTCTATGGTTGATCCTAAGTTGAAAGTGGGGGCAAACAAAATAGGGGAACTAGCAGTCATTGACCAAGTTCTGGCTGTTCAGAGCTGATTGCTGTAGAGGCTGTGGTTTGCCTTTCAGGCTGGTTGCTGCAGAGGTGTGTGTCAGAGTTCTATTGTCATATATGGTGTGTCCACTGTCGCTTGGTATATTTAGTTCTTCAGTTCCCCCTCTTCGGTCATTGGCCAATTCAGAGATACTAGACCTCCAGATCTTCACAACTTGGGGATTGTTCAGTTGTCCCCATATAAACTGTATCCTATTTTTGTTGTTGTATCATCACAGCAATCATTTAATAATAGAGCAGTTGTGCAGAAACACTGAGCCAAGTAGTGTTTTCTTTAAGGCAATATATAGCCAGTGCTACCATGTCTATTTCACAGATCTAAGAACAGCAAGAAATTATAGCCATGGCACAGATAACCACCATGGTTAGTCAATTAGAAGTTTAGAGTAGCGCAAGTGCCCGTAGCTACTTGTGCAAATGAAATAAGGCAGATTTACAGATCTTCCATGTAGGGAAGAGGTGATATCATTAATAACTTCTGCCAGAGTCAGTGATAGGTCTTTATTTATTTATTAAAGATTTTATTTATTTATTTGATAGCGAGAGAGGGAACATAAGCAGGGGGAGTGGGAGAGGGAGAAGCAGGCCTCCCGCTGAGCAGGGAGCCTGATGCGGGGCTTTCTGGGATCATGACCCAAGCCGAAGGCAGACGCTTAACGACTGAGCCACCCAGGCGCCCCAGTGATAGGTCTTTTAAAGTCTTTTTAATTCCCTCCGTTGGAAATACTGCTCTGATTGTTCACATAAACAATGAGTTAGCAATTCGCCCGAGTGCCTGAATATTCAAGCTCCTCATTCTGGAGCTCCTATCTGAGTTAGAATTTCCAGCATCCGTGACTTACAGTTAGGATTTTTGTACAAAGGATTTCTGTACACACTCAGATCTTAGCATACTATTCCTAAACTGTATTAGGTTTTAGTCTGAGAAAAACAAGACAGTTGTCCTGGCTGCAAAGGAAGCAGAATATAGCGGGGGCACATAGAAATCAAGGGGAAAAAGGCTGTTCATGACATGAGATTGGGACCAAAGCCTTACATTAGCTTTGTTACCTATTTGGATTCCTATTATCTAAGTGATAAGTAACACCCATTACACTACAAAGGTTGTCAAATTCAAATTTACAGTTACCTGTGGTCTGATCATTAGATTGTAATAGCTAGCCTTTTATGGGAGACAGGGACACTAGCAGTCACAGGTTGATTTAAGGTCTTTTGTCCCTGTAGGTACAAGTGGAAAAACCATTGGCTGTAATTCCCTATAGTCTCATTTGATGAGACCAGAATTGGTAATGGTGGCCTGGCAATGGATGGCATATTTAGCAGGTGGTATGACTGAGAGTAGTGCTTACTGTTCGGGATAATTTAAGAATGGCATTAGAATGAATATGTCTGACCTAACAATTATATTAAAGAAGAAAAAAAAGAGAAAAAAGAACCATTATGGGTGGATAACAACCAGAGACCTATAGGAATGAGAAAAATAATATAAGCAAGCAGAAGAAAAACAAAACAGGACTTTGACAGAAGTCTTGGTCTGACATCTTGGGCAGAAGCTATTCATTATGAGGTCATCGATTTATTCCAGAGGTGTTTGGTTAGCTATATACTTCTGAAGATCAGCTGCTTCTAGAGTATCTTGGAGAATCCTGTCTGAAGTCCTCTATTGCAGTAGGCTTCCAGTTGTATCACATCTACTTTCTGAAGATGTCTTCTTTAGTTGTGAAATATATACTGAAAAATTGACTCTCTGGAGTTTCACTGCTGTATTTTTTTTTTTTTTTTAAGATTTTATTTATTTGACAGAGACAGTGAGAGAGGGAACACCAGGAGGGGGAGTGGGAAAGGGAGAAGCAGGCTTCCCGCTGAGCAGGGATCCTGATGTGGGGCTCGATGGGATCATGACCTGAGCCGAAAGCAGACGCTTAACGACTGAGCCACCCAGGCGCCCCTAAACTTCACTTCTTGATGGGAGGAATAACATATAAGTTAGAGGCAGAGAAGGAATTGTTGGGACCATCTTTGCAGAAATCCTACCATCTATGAATTTTTTAACTGAGTAGTAATTTTCCCTCTTTAATCCACTGTTTGAGTGCCTCTTACCCAAATCCCTGCCAGCGCTGTGTGATCAATCAATCTCTTTTAATTTAGCCAACTTGATATGTTAAGAGTCTACTAAAAATGGGATGCATCAGGTGCGCCTGGGTGTCTCAATTAAGTGGCTCCCTTCTGCTCTGGTCATGATCACAGAGTCCTGGGATCAAGTCCCGGTTGGCCAGCTCAGCGGGGGAGCCTGTTTCTCCCTCTCCCTGCCACTCCCCCTGCTTGTGCTCTCTGTCAAATAAATAAATAAATAAAATCTTTTAAAAAAATAAATAGAAATGGGATGCATCATAAAATAGGGGTGAAACAGGTTGTCTAATTCAGCAAAGAAAAAGGAAAAAGAGTAGATGAAGCGACCCAGTCAGTCTTAATTTTTGGAATCCTAATTTGTCACTGTTTTTGTTTTTCTGTATGTTTGAAAATTGTTATACTGAATTTGAAAATCGAAGGTCTGGCCGAGCAGGAGTATTAGCTTCTTACAAGAAGCCTGTATCTTCAATGAATCATGGAACACTACATCAAAAACTAATGATGTACTGTATGGTGACTAACATAACATAATAAAATAAAATAAAAAAAAAGAAGTCCGTATCTTTTCTCCGGCCACATATTTGGGCAATCCGGGCAGGCCCAGGTGCTACGAAGCCATGAGCGGGGTTGGTGAAAACACCATAGCGTAGGATTGGGAGATGAGTGTGTGACCAAACGTTAGAATCAGAAGAATAGGTAAATGCGTGCCAAGGTACCTGACGTGCTTAATAAATCTAAAAACTGCAGAGCTTTTCTGGAGTTGGGTATGAACTACTTTATTATACTGTCTTACCTAGTCTAAACCTCCTCGAGACATCACCCCCTGCACCTTTACTTAGACCCTTTCCGTGCTCGTCTGTACCTCGCACTTCTTGTTGCCAACGGTCCGCAGCCCCATCTCCTGTCAGCCCTAGGCGGACCTTACCGAACCGAAGCGCCCCGGCCTTTTCAGTCTGGTCACTGTCCTCCCCTCCCGGCAGAGTACGCTATGAGCCAGCTCCGCCCACACTCGCAGCCAGCCCAAGCCCCGCCCCCGGGTCCTAACGCAAGGACCCCAGAGGGGGCTGTCCGCGGCTGCGCCGGACTCACTGTATCCTGCTGCGGGGACAGACAATCCCCACCCGGGTCTGCGCTGCGGCGCGGCCCTCTGGCATCGGGAATTCAGCCGGAGGCTGTGGCCAGTCGTTCGGGAGTTGCAGTCGCTGCAGGCGGTGGGGAAGGCGGTCCTGACGGAGGCGCTCTCAGGGCTCCACCATGGCGGCGGCGGTACGCGCCGCTGGCTGCCTCCCTGCGCTGTGTGGCCTGCGGGCGGGTGAGAGCCGGGATGCTGGGAGAGGGGCTCTGAGCCGGGGCGGGAGCGGGGGCTCGCCCGCGGACTGCAGATACACGGGCGGAAAGAAGCGACAGGACGCGGCTCCTGGGTCCATCATGCTCGGCTCCCGTCCTTTCCAGAGCCGCTGTGTGACCTTGCGGGCTCCCGCGCCTTCTCTGGATCGCAGGGCTCCTGTCTGTAAAGTGAGGGTGGACTGGACGCCGTCCAAGGCTCCTTCCAGTTCACCAAACTGCTTGTGTGTGCTTGGCTAAGAGGCGCGGGCAACTGGGAAGCATGCATCGTCCTCCCGGCGGGCGTGATGGTGATTCATTTGGTGGTGGGTTCATGTGGAGATGTCGATGTGGGTTCGAGGCAGGTGGAGGCAGTCCTCCAGCTTGAGTCGGATAAGGTTAGTATCAGTCATTTTAGATTCCGGGCTGATCAGTGTCATTATTGAAAAGGAGGATGTTTTGAATGTCCGTGGTTTTGCTGTTAAATTGTTCTCTCCCAGCTTTGTTGGTTTGCAGCCTGAGGAGGGCCAATCTGCTATATATCCTTTAGCATAAGGTCTATTTCTGTGCTTCATGATCGACTTGGCCTTTTTTCTTCGCTCTATTTTATTGTAAATCCACAACCCAGCATTCGTAATTCCGAAACCCAAAGACCTCTAAAAACCGAAGATTTTCTTGTAACTCATTTTGTTGGGAAACTTAACCTGAAATCATTTGGCAGAAAAATCTGTCCTGAACATTCTTTACCTCTGTCCGTGTTGTGACTACCTCCTCCTTTTTCAAGGCTCCATTCAAATAGCACCTGTGGCACTTGGAGCTTTACTTCATGAGCTCTTAACTGTGTTCCAGGGACTATCTTAAGCCCTTTATGCTCTTCCTTACTTCATCTGCACAGTGCCTTTGTGAGATAGATGCCTTTATTATTCCCATTATACAGATGAGGGAATCAAGACACGGAGGTTGGGAAATGTGTTCAAGGTTACACTGGAAGAGGGTCAGGTTTTTGTACCCATACCACTTGGCTCCAGAGCCTGGTTTTTGTTTGTTTGTTTTGTTTTGTTTTTTTTACCCACCCCCTTTTCTGGTATATTATAAACTTTTCTTTTGGTAGCAGCTTTATTGAGATGTAATTTACACACCATACAATTATCCTCTTAAAGTGTACAATTCAGTGGTTTTTAGTATATTCACAAAACTATACAACCATCACCATATAATCAACTTTTAGAACCTCTTCCTCACCCCAAAAGTATCCCTTTGGCTGTCATCTCCCCAATTCCTCATTGCCCCCAGCCCTGGGCAACCACTTATCTTTCTCTCTCTATAGCTTGCATGTTCTGGATATTTCATTATACTATGTGGTCTTTTGTGATTGGCTTCTTTCACTTAGCATAAGGTTGTCAAGATTCGTTCATGTTGTAGCATGTATCAGTACTTCATTCCTTTTTATGGCTGAATTTCTGTTGCATGTACATACTACATTTTGTTTATCCATTTATCAGTTGATGAATATTTGGCTTGTTTCCACCTTCTGGCCATTATGCCTGATGTTGCTATAAATATTTGTGTGAAATATTTTTGTTTCTCTTGTGTGCAGACCTGGGAGTAGAATTGCTGGATCAAATGGTAATTCCATGTTTAACTTTTTGAGGAATGGCTAAATTGTTTTCTCACATAGCTGCATCATTTTACATTCCCACCAGCAGTGCATGAGGATTCTTATTTCTCTACATTCTTGTCAGCATTTGTTATTATCTGTCTTTTTGATTATAGTCATCCTAGTGGGTATGAAGTGATATCAGTTTGTGGTTTTGATTTGCATTTCCCTGATGGCTTATGAACATCTTTTTTTGTGTTTATTTGGCCATTTATAAATATTCTTTGGAGAAATGTCTGTTCAAATCTTTACCCATTTCTACGGTTGTCTTTTTATTAGTGAATTGTTAGAGTTCTTTATATATTCTAGATGCAGTTTCTTTGTCAGATATATGATTTGCAAAAATTTTCTCCCAATCTGTATGTTATCTTTTCACTCTCTGAATATGATGTCCCTTGAAGCACAAATGTTTTAAATTTTGGTGAAGTCTGATTTATCTAATTTTGGTTGCGTATGCTTTTAGCATATCTAAGAAACCAAAGCCAAATTCAAGGTCATGATGATTTACCCTTAGGGTTTTTTCTAAGCGTTTTATAGTTTTTCCTCGTAACTTTAGGTCTTTGATCCATTTTGAATTGATTTCTATATATGGTATGAAGTAGGGCTCTAACTTCATTCTTTTGCATGTGGATATTAGGTTGTACCAGTACCATTTCTTGAAAAGATTATTCTTACCCCACTAATTTATCTTGGTACCCTTTTCAAAAAGCAGTTACCAGTAAATGCTGTCAGAGCCTGTTTGGAAGCACTGTTCCGAGTGAAGTGGCTCACAGTATGGTTGCGGCCGGGTGCCACCGGGGTTTCGGAGGAGAGAGGACAGCAGAGGGCTTGGGGAGCACTGTGGGAATTAGGGAGCCTTCACCCAGAGGTGATGTTTCAGGAGAACATGTCAGAGACTTAAAGGGATTGAAGAGCAGAGTGTGTTCAAGAATGACTAGAAGTCTGGTGTAGTGAAAGAGGGTGGAGGGGGTAGTGGTGGCAGGTGAGACTGATGTGGAAGGTTGGGGCCATGTTGCAGTCCTGTAGGCCATGTTGAGGAGTTTTGACTTTGTTCTGCAGGCAGTAGGGAGCCAAAGAATGATAAATCGGGCCTGGGAAGTGACCAGGCGTTATTTTAGAAAGGCCTGCCTGACAACAGATAGAGAATTAGAAGGGAGCAGCAAGACCTGCCAAGGGACTATTGTTATCTTGTGGCTGAGGGATGGAGCCTGAGCAAAGAAGGGGCAGTAAGACCATGGGAGAGGATGCGGCTGATAGATTTTTGAGGAGACTTTATAGGGCTTGGTAACTGGTTAGATGTGAGCATGAAGGAGAAGATACAATGTGATATTCAAGTGATCATGGACCCGGAAATGACTCATTTACTTCTCTTGGTTCTTTTATCCTATAGATATTAATATTCTTTGGGTGTTAAAAATGTTCCTTTTAATGTAGAAATGTATCTTAAAAATTTTTTTTTAAATTTACAGGTCACATATGGTCCAGACAGCTTTACCAAAACACCTTTCCAACAGCTTCCATTTTGGCATTGAAGACTGTTCTCAGCAACGGTGAGATTTGTTTATCCAACTGCCTTTTCTTATAAGATCTAATGCTAGAGTACTTTATGTAGGGCATAAACGTAAATGAACAACACACATTCTTTTTTTTTTTTATTCTTATGTTAATCCCCATACATTACATCATTAGTTTTAGATGAAGTGTTCCATGATTCATTGTTTGTGCATAACACCCAGTGCTCCATGCAGAATGTGCCCTCCTCAATACCCACCACCAGGCTAACCCATCCTCCCACCCCCCTCCCCTCTAGAACCCTCAGTTTGTTTTTCAGAGTCCATCGTCTCTCATGGTTCGTCTACCCCTCCGATTTCCCCCGCTTCATTCTTCCCCTCCCGCTACCTTCTTCTTCTTTTTTTTTTCTTAACATATATTGCATTAACACACATTCTTTATAGTGGAAGTGCATAAGGGCTAGAATAGTTTTCAAGTTTTTTTTTGATTACAGTTGTTATACTTCAAGGCTTTAAAAAAAATAATAGCTATGATTTTTGGAGTAATACCTGTGTGTCAGGCTTGTAACATGTTATATTGGTTAATTCTCACCAGTTTTTATGAGGGGGTTTCATTTCCATTTTGTAGATGATGGAGTGAGCCTCTGAGAGGCTTAGTGACTCGCTCAAGATCGCATAGCCAGTAAATGGCAGGACTGGGTCCAGAGCTGTCTGGGTACTGTGATGCATCCCAGTAAAGCTGTGTCTTTGCAGAGGCCTTTGCTCCCACACTGACACAGTACAGGGCCCTGTCTTCAGTTACTCTCCAGCAGGGAAGGAAGCCAGCCTTTCCGGAGCCCATGTTGTGTTTGTGGTCAGTGAAATGCCTTTTCCTGTGGTTAAGGCAGAATTGAAATCTCATTGTGTCCTTGACCTTCTGGAACTCTCTGTGCTGAACTTTACTTTTAGTCTCAACTGCCTTTTATCTTGTTAACCCCACTTGTTGAGATGCCTTCATGCCTTGCTTGAGGGGTCCAGAGCTTACCCGAGCTTTCCTCTCTCCCCCTCCTCACTTTTCTCATAGTGACTAAATTCTCCATTGAAATACAAAGCTGGAGTGTGTGCACTGTTTTGTGATCAACATTCCCATTTCCTTGAGTCCTTGATTCCTGTCACCCTGCCATCTCTCTCACAGGACACTACCATCCATGGGATTGGTCAGATGGCTGCCTCTAAGACATGGCTATTTGAGAACACTTTCTTATGTGACACATGCATATGGTTAGAAAAATTCCCAAAAAAACGCAAAAAAAAAATAGGAAATCTCTTCTACTAACCACAAACACATCAGTTTTCTTCCTCAGAGGCAACCACTGTGACCATTTTTTTACATATTGCTTCTGAAATTAGTCTATAAAGTATATTCATGTCCCCTCCTTGTTTTTTCAACATGAAGGGTAGGTTGCTCTAGTGTTAGGCACTGTGCTCTTCTAACCAGACCATTTACAGGTCTTTCCACACGGGCACATTGCCTGCTGAATACAGCAGAGGTCACCATTTGCCCAGAGTAACAGTGCTGATCATGGGGTTGTCAGGGCAACATAGCACCGTGGGGACCCCGGGAAGGACAGATCTACTTCTTTCTTTAGACAGCTGCATCCATTATGTGAATGAACTATCACTTCTGTAACGAGGATGGGCAGTTAGCTCAGTGGTCTAAGTTTTGATTTATTTTTTAAAGAAAAGCTGTCCTCAGGATTTTAGTGACTTACTTGCATCAGGAACGATTAATTATTTGGTGCTGGCAATACTTTTTCACAGGCATGGGCATCTAACTCGGAGTTTTATTCCATCACCTACAGGCCCTCTCGCGTCTCCAGGGACCAGAGACAACCATCATTTCAGCAGCTTGACCTGTGTGCCACAGACACTGTGCTGTAGTTCTTCTCCCAGTAATTTGATGGGGCAACAGTATAGATCCTATAGTTTCTTCACTAAATGTACGTAGCCTGGCCACAAACTTCCCATTTCGTGAAACAGGAAAATAAAAGGTGCTTTTGTATCTTAATTTTTCTTCTTTCTTTAATGAATTAACACATTAGAAATTAGTATATGATGTGCTATTAAAATAAAAATATTCCTCAGTGTACCTCCTAGAATTATCTCACATACTACCGACTGTACTTTGTATTTGTACTGTACTTTGGGGCGCACTAGTTTACTTTAATCCCCTTGTTTGGGGCACCTGAGACCTAAAGAGTGTTGAATTGTGGCCCGAATCCCTGCTGATTTAGATTCACAACAAGAATATACTCAAAGTCTGTTTTCAGTTGCACTTTTAGCTGGGGAGATAGTACAAATCAGGAAAAGTTAATTTTAACTAGACATTGTTTTGCTAACACTACTCCTACTTGCAGTGGTATTTGAAATAGTCCAATCTGAACTGAAATTAGCTTGTAATAAATGGAGATTGATTTCAGAACTCACAGTTAGGCAAATTAAAAGAAATTAGAATTGGGGTGCCTGGTTGGCTCATTTGGTCAGCATGCAATTCTTGATTTCGGGGTTGTGAGTTCGAGCCCCACATTGGGTGTAGAGATTACTTAAAAAAACAGAGTTTCTAGTTTTTTTTTTTTTTAAAAAAGAGGATTATAAAGCCAGTTCATTTTAGATTATTTGGTAAATACAGAAAATCAAAAAAGAAGAAAATGACCTATAATTTTACAGTGATACAAGTGAAGCTGGCCTCTTCTGGCCTTTTTTATTAAGTAGGGGACCATAGATCATTGCTTGGTAATTAAAAAACCAAAAAACCTGTTTCATTACAGTGACAGCCGATGAGCTTTGGAAAGGCGCTTTAGCAGAGACTGGAGCAGGAGCAAGAAAAGGAAGAGGCAAAAGAACTAAGAAAAAGAGAAAAAAGGATTTGAACAGGGGTCAGATCATTGGTGAAGGTAAGCTTATTTATAAAAAAACTAATGTGCCTTTTAAGGTTTTCCTCCTAGTTGTATAGAGATTTTTATAGTCTAGAAGCCTCATACATTTCTCAAGAAGGGCATTAGGGTCTGTAGCTTTAGAGTTCAACCAGATGGCCCACTTAATGCCCCATGATTCTGGGGGAAGAAAATCCCATAGAAAGGAATTCATTCAGTTTTTCATTCAACAAGCCTTAAGTGCCATTGTGTCCGCATCTTCTGCAACAGTCACTGCCCTCAAGGAGCTTATGATTCATTGAGAGAGATGGCAAACTTTATCTGTAAAGGGCCAGTTAGTAAATATTTTTAGCTTTAGTGAGTCACTAAAGCTCTGCTCTGTCCAACTATTCAGCTCTGCCATGGGAGCTCAAAAACAGTCCTAGATAATACGTGATCAAACCGGGATAGCTGTGTTCCAGTAAAGCTTGACAAAAACAAGTGGTGGGCAGGGTTTGGCCCCTGGGCCTTAATTTGCCAACCCTTGGAACACATGATCGTTTATACTTGTGTTTTTGAAGAGTAAAAATAGTACAGTGTACTTGAGTCGATATTTTGTGCTGTGGTGGCTGACAAATTATCCTTTATTGTAATAGGCTTCCAGGCATAAAGAAAACACTGTTCACTGCACTTGCTTGTCTATTTGAATGTTTTTCTCTAGTGACTCACCTTGTATCTTATTTTTTAACGTTTTTAAAAGTTACGACAATCGTATTACATATACCTTCTCAGTAAAAAATTCAAAGATTATAGAGAAATCTAAAGTCCCCTTGATGCCCTTTCTATCTCTTCCAATCCCAGTTGCTGCCCCCAAGCAAGGCATTGATCTCATTTTGATGTTTCCTTCTGACGTTTTTTAATATTTTTATATACATAAATACCCTCAAAAAATCATATATTTTCTTAAAAAAATTAAATTATCTCACGGTATGTACTGTCCTATAGTTTACTTTTTTCACTCAATAATAGGTCTTGGAAATTGTTCCATATCAGAATCCGTATTGCCACCTTACTCTTTCAGCTTAGTGCAGAATATTTCATGGGTTGAAGATGCCATAGTTCATTTAACCAGTCCAATATTGCTTTACATGTAGATTGTTTCCACTCTTTGCCTTTACAAGTAACATTTCAGTGGCCCTCCTTGTCCAAGCACACTTATGCCTTGTACTTGTGTAGGAATGTTTCTCTAGGTAATCATGAAGTGGAATTACCAGTTACAGGGACGGTACACTTAAAATTTTAATAGACAGTGCCAAGTGGCCTGCCAGATGATCGTTAGTTTAAGCTCTGTCCAGCAGTGTCATTGTCTGTACACCCGTTGCCTGCCATTTTAACATTTAAGAAATGAATGATTTTTAAAAAAATTCTTATTAATGTATTTTTTTAAACCTTCAGGGCGTCATGGCTTCCTCTGGCCTGGTCTGAATGTCCCTCTTATGAGAGAGGGAGCTGTGCAGACCATTGCCCAAAGAAGCAAGGAAGAGCAGGAGAAGGTAGAGGCTGATCTGGTCCAGCAGAGGGAAGAGTGGGACCGGAAGAGGAAGACGAAGGTTAAACGGGAGCGAGGATGGAGCGGAAACACATGGGGAGGTGTCAGTCTTGGCCCCCCTGACCCTGGTCCCAATGGAGGTAGCAGAGTCCTGGTGTTGCTTCCCTTTGTGACAGAGAGAACACTTACAGTTCTAGAATTCCTTAATAGGATTTTATTTACTTGTCTGTTTAGATTGCCTTTTTCTAAGAAAGGATTTGAGCATTATTGGAATAACTTCACACTATTATTCAGTTGTAGTTTATGGAACTTTAGAGGCCCATAACCAAGAAGTATTTGACACATAGGAAGCAAAGTACTGGCTTTTGGCATCCTTACTGTGTGGCTTCTCAGAACCTTGAATGTGGTAGTATGCATTTTGGATCTATACAAACCACTTGTAGGATGCAGTTGCCCGAAAACAGTTTCCCCTGGGGTACCTATGGAGCAGCATGGTTTGGGAGTGCAGTTTTGATAACAGAAGGTAAACCATATAGTTGTCGTTCAGCTTTATAAAAGCATACATGAAATAAAAATTGATAAAACTTGGGGCGCCGGGGTGGCTCAGTTGGTTAAGCGACTGCCTTTGGCTCAGGTCATGATCCTGGAGTCCCTGGATCGAGTCCCGCATCGGGCTCCCTGCTCGGCGGGGA